GCAGGGGACCCCCTCTCCCCCCTCCCCAAAAAAATCTGCCTTCTCCCCCACCAACATTGTCTACCCACCTGAGCGAGGCAGCGGGGGGGGGGAGGTGGCACAGGAAGGGATGCCCCTCTGCATGCCCAGAGAGATGCCAACACTTGAAAGGCGAAGCGGGCGGGGGGGGGCTCCCTCTTCACCATACGTCATGGCTGGCGGATGGATAGCGCTTCAGCAGGAGGCGGGGGAGGGGGCCAGGAAGATGCTCCCAGATGAAAGAGCCACGGCAGCCCCCAGCCCGGACCCCCTTTGCTGCTCCTGGGCTTAACGGGGGGAGCCCCCTCCCACTTGCAGCCGGGGATGCCCCGAACTCCCCACTTCCAGGGAACAGGACTCTGTGCCCGGCCATGCACGCCATCCCCCTCCCCACTGCACCCCCTCTCCCTTGCCGCAAGCGCCGGCCTCCTCACCTCGCCTGGGTGCCCGCAGAAGAGGCGCCCCCTCCCCGGCTCCGGCACCTGCTCGGCCGCCGGCACAGACCCCTCCTGGGCTCCGCAGCGCCCCCAGCGGCCACTGGCAGCCCTTAAAGGGGACGCGTCCAGCGCAGAGGAGGCGGCAGGGAAGCCCCGGGAGCAGCTGCCTCCCTCGGCCGGGCAGAGGACGGGGAGTTGGCCTCCAATCTTACACAGCGTGCTCGCCCCCCTCCTAACCGTCCCCACTGAATTTGCTTTGGGGGAGGGGGAGGGACCCAAGCACAGCTCCCTCCTTCCCAGCCCAGGAGGGGAATGGCCCTCCCAGCCCAACCTCTTCTTCCTCACCCACCTTGGCAAAATCGTGCCAGAGAGAAGCCCACAAGCAGAACTGGAGGTAGACTGGCCCTGCAGGTAGACTGCCTCTGAATCTGGAGGTATTTAGCTCCCCCCAGCCCATGGAAGCCCTGTCTACAGAGCCCTTGGGGAAAAACAGACAAGTGAGCCAGAAAATTCCAGAAATGTCTTCTCACTTGGCAGGCTCCTGTTGGCACCCCTTGTCCTGGGCAAAGCATCCAGCAATGCTGCTCCCCTCACCTGAGAAAGCTGCCCGACCTGCTATGGAGCTGGACAGGGCTGGACCTCTCCCCCCTCGCTTGGCCAGAGCTCTCCTCTGCCCCCTGCTTGTCCCACCCCAGCCCCCCCCTCCAGCCCCAGGGAATCAGAGGCCAACCTGTGGCCCCACACCCGGTACAGGGAAGGCTGTTTGGGCAGCTTGGCTACAAGCAAGCCAAGTCTCACTCAGGTGACGTTGCCAGGAAGAGGAAGAGGCAGAGGCGAGGGAGGGGGAAGGAGGAAGGCGAGCACCTGTCTCACCTGCAACCAGGTAGGCCGAATCTCAGGAGCCAGGAAAGGCCAGGCCGGGCCGGCCAGAAGTCTACCCTTCTCTTCCCAACAGTTCCACTCCCTCCATCTGGCATTCACCTTCTTGGATCAACCACATAACATGGACGTGACGGGGTGGCTTAACCATTCGCTCCAACTGGTTGCACCTGGCATTCATGCTACACTGCTCCTGAACGTGGAGGCTCTTGTGGCTGCAGAAGGGGCTCCCCAGCACATGTCATGCTGCGAGAGGCAGAGGCTCCTTAGCACCGGGCATCTTGCCCTCCTGGGGACAGGCCAGCACCCCCACCGCCTCTAAACCCGCCACAAGCCAGGAGCAAAATCTTGTCATAAAGCGAATCCAGCATCAAGGCTCCTCTTCTCTGTATGTCTTCTGTCCCCCAGCAGCTGTCAACCCAGACGGGCAGAGCTGATCCACAAGTAGCCCCTGCCGCCCACGGCCCCTTTGGGAAGGCCCTCCTCCCCCTGCCCAGCCTGCAGCCTGTTCGGGATGAATCATGAAGCTTGCAAGGAAAACCCTTCTACCTTCAGCAGAGGAAGGGATGGAAAAAATTCGATCCCCTTGGACGAAAACACCCCCAGCATTTTAAAATGGCCGCAGGGGCCCCCTTTCCCTCGCAGGCGGCACCTTTGGCTGCCTGGGTACATCCAGCTGAGCCTTCAGCCTCACAAGCTGGGCATGAAGTCCAGGCTGCCACCAGATCCTGCTGCCAAGCCGTGTGGCTGTTTGACCTCCCAGCCGGCCATCTGGCTCCCTCCTTTTAAATCTGGAGGCTGGATGAGGATGGCTGGTGGGGGGGGGGGGCGCACGAGAGGCAGAGAAAAGCTCTGGGCACCAGGTGGCCTCTTTGGCCTCCTCCTCCAGCCGGGATCCCTCTTAAGGCTCACTTGCTGGGAGAAGGGGGGGGGCTCAGCCTGGGAGGGATTAGGTGGTAGGGATGGCAGCGAGGAGGAATCGCCCGGCCTTTGATCTGGGGCTGCAAGCACAAGGCCCATCATCCACCATCATCTACCCCCTAAGGAAAATCTGCTGCATCTTCTGCAGCAAGGAAGGCGGCTGTGGAAGAGGATGCAAGTGGTGGCAATGCAACTCTGGCACTTCCTCCCAAGGCGGCAGGAGGCCCATCTGGGCTGGGAGCCTGGAGGTCGTCCTTTGCCCCTGCAGCAGGGGCAAAGGACGACCCACATTACACCTAACCTCAATGAGCTGCACTGGCTATCAATTGGTCTCCGGACTCAATTCAAGGTTTTGGTTATTACCTTTAAAGCCCTACATGGCTTAGGGCCAGGATACCTTCGAGACCGCCTGCTGACACATACCTCCCAGTGGCCGGTAAGATCCCATAGATTGGGCCTCCTTCAGATGCCATCGGCCGAACAATGTCGGCTGGCGGGCCCTTGGAGGAGAGCCTTCTCGGTGGCTGCTCCGACTCTGGAACCAGCCCCCCGCGGAAATCCAGACCATACCCACTCTGATGGCCTTCAGGAAAGCCGTAAAAACTTGGCTGTTC